CTGCCAGAGATATAAAACGAGACCTCACCAGAGCTCCTTTCACCCTCTCGTTCAAAACCAAACTCAATTCTCTCTTCTTCTTTTGTAAGTTACTATATAAAGTAGAGTCATATGCATCCATCAACTGAGATTCTATTAGATTAATTTGTTTTTCAAGGGTCTCAATCACATTCTTTACTCTTTTAGTAGAATTAACTGTATACTGTTGACAAAACATTTTTATTTGAATTTTGCCTATGTCCCACCATTGCTTTAAATTTTCAAAACTGCTTTATTCCTCTCTCCAATATTCCCAAAAAAATGTGAAATTATCACAAAAAACAGCATCCTGCAGCAACTTGACATTAAAATGCCAATATGAAGACTTCTTGGGTAACTTAGACATAACAATTGTCATAGAGATCAAATGATGATCTGAAAATCCTATAGGACAAATAGAACAATCTGTTACTCGATTACTAAAACATTTTGACACGTAAAATCTGTCCAAACGTGCAGCACTGACTCTATTATTAAAAGCCTTAACCCATGTGTACTGTCTATCAGTAGGGTGTTTAATTCTCCACACATCCAAGAGTTTAAAATCTTTTATCAGTTTAGACAATGAGCCTGAAGACTGTAAGTGAGGTTCTTCAGTGTTTCGATCTTCAGTAAAATTTACAGTACAGTTCCAGTCCCCCCCAATAACAACATATCCTTCACTAGAACATTTTTTAAGAACCCCACTCAGAATATTAAAGAACTTAAGGCGTTCATGTCCCACCGTTGGAGAATAAATATTTATCAAGAAAAAAAACATTCCTTGGATTTTAGCTTCAACTAAAATAATACGACATACGACCTTTTCCTCTACCTTTACAATAATTACGTCTAAGGATGAGGAAAATAAAATTGCCACCCCTCCCCCCTCCACTGTACCATGACTAAGTATTTTATGTCCTTTCCACCACAAATTCCACTCAGATTCATTTACAACATCACTATGCGTTTCTTGTAAGAAAACAATATTAAACTTCTTCTGTTCAACAATTTCATTAACAAGATCACGCTTAGAGCTGTCCCTCCCACCATTAATGTTTAGAGAACCTATCTTTAAAGTTTCCATACACACAGAAAAAGTTAAGAAAGTTAAGAAAAGCAAGAGGAAAAAGCAAAGAAAAGACACAGTGTGATGCATTGTATATTATTATGTTAATTATGTTAAAATACACAACTTTTGGCCTTCTTTTTTTTCCTATCCATTTCTTTACATTTTCTTATAGTGGTCAGATGCTTTCTCAACCTAAAACGCTTCTTCTCACTAAGCTCATCAATTCCAACGTTTCTCTGATAAAAGGTAACAGACTCAACAAATTTGTCTACATCAGGAAAGAATTCTTTTATATTAACCTGTTTGCCATAAGTTTCATCCAGAAAACTGTTGATTTCTTCTAAGCTATACAATGAGTCTTTGTTAAAGCCTCCTGAAAAATCAGCTCGAACTGAGCTGAGTACAGCTTCCTGTGAATTACCATAATCACACTGCGAATCTTCCTGCGACTCAAAATCATCAGACAACACATCCTCCATTTCCTCATTATTTACAACATCATAGCACAATTGTCCTTGACTTGCTTCTTTTACGCACTCCTTATTTTGCAACATTTTACCGCCACTAGTACTAGGGACTGCTTCATCAGTTTTAACATCACACACTATACCGTTTGCACTAACACCAGATTCCACATTTACTGCCACCTCACCATCAGCACAAACAGCATTAGAAACTGAGGGAACAAACTCGATATCTTCAGCAGATAACACAGCATCAGCATTAACAGCACTCACCTCAACAATTGGAACAGCGTCATCTCGAACTGCCTCAGCCAGATCTTCGGTGTTATCTGAAGCATCAACCCTTGATCCTGCCGCGCTCTCTGCACCTGTTCTCTTGTGCGGACACACAAGATGCTTGTGCCCGATGTCTCCGCACTCAAAACATCGCACACTGCCGGTGGTCGCATACACCATATACGATCCTCCCTCATGTTTCACACGAAAGTTTATGTCCAATGTATTATCATTAGACTCCAACATCATAAAAACATGCCTCCTAAAAGACACAACGTGTCTCAACGAGGGATGAGAGCGCGAGGGAGAGAGCGCGAGAGAGAGCGAGCGAGCTAGCGAGAGAGAGAGCGTGCGAGAGAGAGAGAGAGAGCGAGAGAGAGAGAGAGAGAGAGAGAGAGAGAGAGAGAGAGAGAGAGGGTCACATCACAGAAACAAAGTCTCATCTTTAAAAATATGTCCTTTTTTTAGGAAATTCAAACAATAAATGCCGCTTTAGATAAGATCGCTTGCCGCTTTAGATCAGATCCACAGCTCGTTAGTGCGCTATAAATGAAGTGCAGAGAAGAGCATTTTGCGAAATATTAGACAATATACTCATATTTTACTTTACCTGTTAGTGATGTCTTAATTGTTTAATGTTTAAATAAATCTGTTATGAAACGAGTTATGAGAGGCACTGTGTAAATGAATATATTTCAACAACAAGTAGAATTTTTATCATTTTTATATCATTTAATTTTTATAATTTGGAAGTTAATTTAAAAACTGCATTCTGTGCAATTTACATGTTTGCATACATTTTCTAAAGTCGAGTGCTGCTTGTTATATTAAAAAAAAAGAAAAAAAAGTAATTCAATTTAAGTTTGGGCTCTGTTGTTAACTGTTAGTTAAAGTAGGCCTAATGTAAAAGGGCTCACTATAGTTTAGAGTATAATCCGAGGTAGATTTTTATCCCTAAGAAAATTAGAATTATAACTGAATTTATTTAAAGTAAGAGCAATTTTGTTCAGTAAACCACCACTGATTAAAAAAAAAATATATATGTTTAGTTTTTCCCCCTGCTGTATCAAAAATGTACTGAACCGTGACGTCAAAACTGAGGTAAGTACCGAACCGTCATGTTTGTGTACCGTTACACCCCTAAGAGAAATGTAGCATTGCATCAGTGTCTCAGCAATGGATCCTCTGCAGTGAATGGGTGCCGTCAGAATGAGAGTCCAAACAGCTGATAAAAACATAAGGAATAATTGACGACGGGCCATTGAATTATTAGAAATATAATGCACACCCAAGGTGGTGATGCAGCCACGACGCGAAGCGGAGTTATTATTTTTCTAATAATTCAACGGCCCGGAGTCAATTATTCTGCTTATACTACGGTTACCACACCTCAATAGCATTCTAATGCATTGTAGAGTCTGGACCAATCAGACACACCATTTTTCATTAGATGTAACAAATCAGTTATTCATTAGATTAACAAATCGTCACAGACCCCTCACCCAAGTCTGCGAACGACACCAGGCCCCTGGTCACCATGGCAACCAATGCTGATATCACTGGTTTTATTGCCCAAAGGAAT